ATATATATATATATATATATTCTTGTCATGGCAAACCTTGTCTTGCAACCCGTGTCTGTACAGAGGGAAGGTGTCGACTCTCCCAGGGGTCGGGGGGCAGGTACAGAGCAGCACTCCCATTCAGCTGATTGACGTCTGAAGTCTTTAAAACTAGCAGCATAGGTTATTGTTGAGTGTCTTTAAAAAGAATCTGTCACAAATGGGGAGTTGCTCTTCAGTGGGTATAAAGTTCCTGTCCTGCAAGACGAAGGAAGTCCTAGAGATCTGCAGAACCGTGTTTATAGTCAACAATACTGTTCTGTACACACAAAAATGTGTTAAGAGGGTAGATCTCAAGGTAAGTGTTCCTTTTTTTTTAAAGATTTTATTTGTTTGAGAGAGAGAGAGGGTGCATGTGCACACACAAGCCGGGAGATGGGGCAGAGGGAGAGGGAGAAGCAGACTCCCCGCTGAGCAGGGAGCCCAACGTGGGGCTCGATCCCAGGACCTGGGATCATGACCTGAGCTGAAGGCAGACGCTTAATGACTGAGCCAGCCAGGCGCCCCTCACATTCAATGTTCTTACTACAACAACAGTTGCTGTGTTGAATGTTACTGAGAGTCTGAAAAATAAGAGGACCAAGGAGTGTCCCTGACAAGGTCTAAATGCATGGACACGATGGACAGATCTTCAACACCTGCCGAGTTTAAAGCTATTGCGACACAGTACCCACCACATAAACATCTTTTACATTTAATACATTTTCTATGGATCATAGTTGTACCTAGTTTTTAAACACCATATACCCACCAAACTCAAACTCATAACGGTGATTATCTCTGGAAACAGAAAGCTGAAGGCCTACATGTGTGTGTGAATGAATCAATGCATTCTTTGAATAATTCAAAATGCATGTTTAAAATCAAGTACTTACTGAATCTTGGAGATCGCTGGGGATGTTAGTAAGAGATTCCTTGGAGTAGTGACAGTGGAAATGGGGACGCATGGCTCAGATGCCGGGGCTAAGGGAAAGAGCCAGGTGCACACATACAGGCGAGTGTAGACAACTCTGGCCTCAAAGAGGGAGCATGGGACTGGGCTAGGGGATGGGAGGATGCTGATAGAGACAGCAAGAGAAGGCAGGATGGGGGCAGGGGAGGTGACCTAAAGTCCTTGGGAAGGTGGGTGGGTGGACCAGAGCCCCACGCAAGGTGTGGCTTGTGCCCTTGACCTGTCCATGGCATAACTACCGCCCCGCTCACACCGGCCCTGGGTCAATGTCGGCCAATGTTAAGCGGAGCCACTAGGGATGGCCAACCAGAAGAGGGCAGCGTCGGCCTTTCAAGAGAAGCTGTGCATCTCGATCCACCTCTCAGTAAGCCGGCTCCTCCCACCTGCAGGGAGGGGGCGTGGCCTCTGTCGGCCCTGGGGGTTAGGAAGGCAATCATCACCAGCTGGGGCTGAGCTCTGCCCTGCCCTCCCCAAGGGAAAGATGCAGCGAGAGAGTTGGAGACCCCACTGCTGCTGGCCCTACTCACGTGGCCACTTCCCAGAGAGTCGCTCTCCCCCTGTGCCCCCTTGCCAGTCTGTTAAATGCTTCCTCACTGGGCTGTTGTCAGAATCAGGGTAGTAATAATTACCTCACAGGGTTGTTGCGAGAATAAAATGAGATCATATACAGAAAACGATCGGCAAAGTGCCTGGCAGGACAGAAGCACTCAGCAACAGTACATGCTTTTAACATCCCTGCGGACTTCAAGGTCTAAGCCCTTACCACCCTCTAACTCTGCTCTTTGGAGGCCAGCCCTGAGGCCAGACGGCCAAGCACAGGGCCCCACCTCTGGGTTTCCAGACACACAGGACTAGTCAGGGGGTTTGAGTCCTGTTCTTCACCCCTAGACCAAGAAGGCTGGAAAAGGAGCCCCTCCCTCTTCTCCCAGAGCCGAGCCCCGGCATGCCCGCAGGGGGACGTCCAGGCTCTGCTACCAGCAAGCTGCGCGCGGTTGGCCCCCAGTCTCCTCGACTGTAAAATGGCCATCTCTCTCCCTACGCACCTCACGGGCTTGATGTGAGACACACATGAATCTAGGTGTGCAAAGCAAGGGCTAATGCAAGGGGGTTTTGAGGTGACAATGGGGAGAGACTCACCTATAACTAAGAGCGTTAACGTCGTCTTTGAGAAAGGTTAACCTGCTTGTTCTCACCATCCCACCATGGTGCACACCTCTTTCCCACCCAGAATCCCTCCACCCCTGTCATCCTGCCCAGGCTAGCTCTCCTCCTTTCTCCTCCAGGGTCCCTTTCTAGAATCCTCCTCACAACACTCAACCATGCTGTTGACCTGGATTTGAAAGGAGTTCCCCTCAAAGCAATCATTACTAACCATTAAAAAAATAATAGTAATGACAATATCACAAAGCAACGCCCACCAGGTTTGTTCTCACCTCAGGGCCTTTGCACTTGCTGTGCCCTCTGCCTGGAAGCTCTTCCCCTAGTTATCCACCTGGCTTGATCCTTTGCTTCCTTCGGGTCTGTATTCAAATTTCAGCAAAGCTTTCCCTGGCCAGACTACATAAAAGTAGAATCCTCCTTCCCAACATTTCCTACTTCCCTTCCCCACTTTAACTTTCTCCCTACCATTGACCATCTAAAATAATATAGATTTTCATTGTTTAACTTATTTGGTTTTTAGAAAGCAAGTTCTCTGAAAGAAGAGCCTTTTTTGTTTGACTTGGTTTGGTTTGTTCACTTGCTAAATCCCCACCTGGAATAGAACGTGCCCCCTGGTAGGTGCTCAAAAAAGGTTTGCTGAATGAATAAATATGTCCAAAGCGGTACTCTGAGGAAACTTTGTAAGCTTGAAGCCTTTCATCAACTAAGAACAGGAAGAAAATAGATGAGCGAAGCATTCAACTCCAAGACGGCAGAGGCTGTCTTACTCAACACTGTATTGTCAACCTAGTTATACACTGACCCGCACACTGGAGTTCAACGACTAGAGAACAACAGTAAATAAGCAAAGTAAATCTAGAGAGAGCAGGAGGGGAATTCAGTCAACAGCATTAATCTCATTAGAAAGGCAGAAAAATTGGCAACACAACAGAATTCTCAAAGGATTAGTTGAGAAAATGTACTGTCACACATTACTAAGACTATAAAAGAAAAAAAAACAATGATAAGAAGGTATTTTTGTTGTTTTGTCTTGTTTTCATTAGAAGAATACCATGTATAGCTCTATGCCAAGAAGCTTGAAAATCTCCATTAAAAAGGTGACCCACCTACCCAGAGACACACACGGCTTCCCGTTTAGAACTTCCATGCTTGTTTCTCCCTCCCTCATCCCTTCAAGCCCCCTCCCAAGTGGGTGGCCCGTCCCAGGGGGCAGGGGCCAATGGCACGTCACCCCTGCTTCCCCAGGGCCCGCAGGCAGCACCCCAACCTCGTGCACGCTGAGCAGGCAGCGAGGGCCATTGTGCTGGCGGGGGGCAGGGGCTCACCTTGTTGGCACAGCTGAAGCCCAGGCCCAGCTCGGCCAGGACCTTCAGCACACCGGGGCTGCTGTTGCACTTGACCGTGTAAAAGGGCCGGACTCGAGGCAGGCGCTTCAGGAAGCAGACGTGCTTCCTCACCACAGCACCCAGGTCGGCCACGAAGAAGGCAGCGACGTCACCCTGCGCGAGAAGAGTGAATGTGAGACCCTCGCTCGGCTCCCTCCTGGTGCGTGCCATCTGCCGTCCTCCCGGCGAACCTGCCCCAGGCCCGGCTCTGGCCACCAAGCCACCCGGCTCTACAATCCTCTGCACAGAAGGCCTGCATTCGGGGTTCTGTGATCTGGCTCCCGCCCCTCCTCCACTCACCGCAGCTCCAGCTCCAGCCCCACGCTGCTGCGTTTCCCCACCTCCAAGTTCTTGCTGCCACCATGCCCTTCGCGCAGAATCCCCTTGCCCCCACTCGGGTCTGGCAAATTCCCAGTCTACCTTCAAGTTTCACCTCCCCCAAACAATAAGGCCGTTAACTCTGCCTTTAATGCTTTCACTGCATTTTGCACATGCTTTCAAAGTATCGGAACTTTATATACATTCATCTTCTCCAGAAAAAGATAGATTCCTTGCAGGCCAAAGCTATGGCCTGCAGCCCACAGCCTTCCACACGTAGGCGCTCGCGGAAGCCTTGCGTGAGTCCCACCGCCACTGCGACCCATGCCCGTGAGCAACCGGTCATCACAGATTTGCTGAGGGCAAAACATGTACGAGGCTCTGGGTGAGACAGCATTACTTCAAACCTCGCTGGAACTGTTTCCCTTTTATGCTACACTTCTTTTTACTGAAGCCCACTTGGTGTCTGACATGATGTTAAGGGATAGAGCTGACCAGACAGGGTTCCAGCCCTGAAGGGGCTTGGGTCTTGAAGACAGCCAACGCTTTGAGCAATGACAGGCCCATTCAATAAATGCTCCGCGGGAGTTCCTCCACAAGGCAGTGGAGGCCACAGAGAAAAGGAAATACAAAATCGGCCTGGGAGATTAGGACAAAGTGACACTGATGAGTAATGAGGAAGGACAGAAATAGGTAAGGGCGAGAGAGGCCGGCAGAAGGGCATTCCAGGCAGAAGGAATAGCCTGGGCAGAGGGGTGATAACAGCACATGGTGTCATTGGGAAACAGAGCGGTCGTTTGGTCGGCTCCCACGGAGCATGGTCCACTGTGGGCAAAGCCGGGAGCGGGGCTGTGAAGGCAGAGCTCGGGCTTGACCCTGCAGGCGGTGGAGGACCGCCAGACAATTCTGAGCTTGAGCATGGCTGTGATGGAGTCGGAGCCGGTGGGATGAGGCAGGGAGAAGGTCAGTGGGCCTCTAGAGAGATGAGGTCTGAACTACAAAGCCAGGGCCGGGCAGAGCACCCCGGCGGGTGGCGTAAGGAGCTTGGTGGTGCCCTGATGACAAGGGGAAGCCGGACTCCCAGGTTTCTGACCAGAGGGCTGGGTAGATAGTGGTGGTGCTGTTCATCAGGGCAGGGCAGGCAGGAAGAACAAAGTTTGGGGCAAAAACAAGGAAATGGGGGTCAACTGAGCCCGTCTCTGGCCAACAGCAAGGACTGAACGCCAAATATGAAGGAAGATGAGGGCCACAGGGGTCCTTCCAGAGAAGGCAGCTGGGCCTGCACAGGGAACAAAAGACCCACCCCCACTCCCAGTCCCTCACCGCGGTGGCCTGTGAGGCCCCCAGAGTGAGCTCCTCCAACAGTTCTCGGGTGCTGAAGCCCTCCTCCACCATCACAAAGTCTGTTTTGCTCAAGTAGCCAGCCATGCCGAGGAGGAGGAGCCGATGGGCTGGATGAAGCCACCGCCAGGCCGCCTTAGAAAGTATGCAACACACTGCAGGGGGAAGGGGGTTGGTAAAGTGAGGGGGCCCGCTGGGGGGGCTGCCCTCCGCTACCCCTCTGACCTCCCCAAGCCGGGGCGCCCAGTGCTGATACACCCCACCGCCAGCACAAGCCTGCGGAGTTTAGGTCCCCTGGGAAGGGTGGGGACGACCAGGAATCCTGACTGGGACAAGGCATAACATGCCTAAGATGTCACTGCCTCTCCGAGCCTCAGTTTCCCCATCTGTAAAATGGATGGATTATTTTGGAGATCCTTTCCAGTTATGAAATTCGGGTTTTAGCAAAAAGGGAAAGAAGGAGAGGGAGCAGGAAAGCCAAGAAGCTCGGGTGGGGAAGTTTTCAGGGGACCCTCAGTCTTGACCACGCCCAACTAAAGAGGCTGGGAGTGGCCCCACCAAGGAGTCTCAGCCCCAGAGCAGGAGTTTAGGTTCGAGTCCGCCCCCGCTCCGTGACCTTGGGTACGCCCTGTCCCCTCTCCGAGCCTCAGTTTCACCGTTTGTAAATGGGGGGGAGGGCAGGTCCTGACGTGCTAGGATTCTAAGCGTGCATGGGGCCACATGGTGGGTAGGGGTCGTGGGCTCCCGGGCGGGAACCGAAGGCTGAGGTTCTGCCCGGGTGAGCCTTCCCGAGTGCAGGGCCGAGGACCCGCCCCCCACACCCCCTTACCAAGCCCCGTCCTCCTTCGCGGGGGCCAGAGCCAGGCGCGCTGCTAGGGGGGGTCGCCGGTGACCTCGAAACTTGTGCAACACCCCAAGGAGGAGTGGCAGTTGCGGAGCCGAGGCCCCTGCTGAGAGGAGGCAAGGGGGCCGGGGGCAGGTCAGCACTGGAGCCGAGGGCGCCTGCCCCCGGAGGCTCCCCGAGCCACTCCCCGCACTCGCCTTAAAACGCATTTACACGGCTTCGGCCCATAGGTCTCCCCAGCGAGTGAATCGGATCCTCGGCGCCTCCGCTCGCCCGCTCCCCCCGGCTCGGGCCCCGCGGCCTGCGCCCCGCCCGCCCAGCAGCCACCGACCCCACGCCCCGCCTGCCGCCTGCCGCCCGCTTATATAAGCCCCGCCCGGGCCCCGCCCCTGACGCCCAGGCCCCTCCCCGCTCCGTAGCCCTGGCAACCGGGTGCCGCCACCCCATTGGTCGATTCCGACATAAAGCATTCAGCTCTGCCACCCTGCTCGGCAAACCTGAGCAAGCTTCAATCCTCCCAGCCCGGCGGGCTCCACCGCTACCCCACACCGTGAAGTGGGACCTGCAGAGCCGCCGCCTCAGAATCCCGAGCGCCTACACGCTGGGAAGTTTAGGTCCTGGATCTTGCATCTTAGCGAGCGGGCAGGAAGCCAGGAGGTTTCCTGATTGCTCTGGGAAATCTCTGACTACCTCCTCTCCCGGGTGCCTCTCACCTCTACTCTGGTGATCTGCTCATTCCATACCTCAAAGCCCATGTCAAATGTCATCTCCTTCTGTTACTTTTCTAATAAAATCCTTCTTATTTAATTACCTCTCCCAGCATCTTCTCTGATTCCTCCAACTCAAAACCCAGCTAAAATGTCTTCAGAGATGTGACTTTCCCAGCTCAGGGCAATCTTTCCCTTCATCCCACCTTCTGAATGGGGCAAACTCCTACTCACCTTCAAATAAAATGTCTCCTCCAAGGTGCATTCTCTGACTTCCTCAACTCAAAGCATTTTTTCTCTTCTACACCTGACAAACTCCTCCTGCTCACCTATCAAAGTACAGTATAATGTCACCTTCCCTGTCGAGCATCCCATGACTTTCCTAGCCTGGAGGGACAATGGAACTCACAGCGGATATATCTGTGTGGACTCCTCACTCGTTTGGCTCTTGTTACCCAGAGCATGAGATTCCTGTTGTTGCTTTACACCTCTTGTTTGGTTACACTTCCCAGCTATTTTGTGAGCTCCCAAGGGCAGGAACTGAGTGCCTGACTCCTCAGAGTGCCCACTGCCTGGCTGAAGAAGATTCAGTACGTGTGTTACTCAAAAGCTAATCCAAAAGTTCATCTGAAACAGTGATTGTACATGAATAGCTAAGACATCTTTGAAAAAAAAAAAGAAGAAGAAGAAAGAAAGAGGATTTCTTCGACCAGATATCAAAATATTTTAGGGGCGCCTGGGTGGCTCAGTCGTTAAGCGTCTGCCTTCGGCTCAGGTCATGATCCCAGGGTCCTGGGATTGAGTCCCACATCGGGCTCCCTGCTCCATGGGAAGCCTGCTTCTCCCTCTCCCGCTCCCCCTGCTTGTGTTCCCTCTTTCGCTGCGTCTCTCTCTGTCAAATAAATAAAATCTTTAAAAAAAAAAAATTTATAAAGCTATGGTCTTTAAAACATCATGGTGCTCTGCAGAAAGAGATGACGGCAGTAAAACAGAACAGAATCTAGAATAATCTCATGCATATTGGAGAATTTGATAGGTAATGCGGGCAGCATTTCAAATCCGTGGGGCCAAAGAGCTCTTTAGTCTAACATATGTATTTATGTTCTCTGTCGGGCTGTAGGCTTCTTGGAAGCCCGAGGCACTTCTTGTCCTGCCTCAGTATCTCCCTAGGGCATTGTGCGCAACCTAATCGGAAGGTGTTTAGCATATATATGGTGAAGATCCATTTTCTGCTCCCCACTCAGCCTGGCCACATGACCGCTGGGTGTCCTTGGTTGGGTCATCCTGCTTCGACCAAGGTTCCCTCTGCCTGGCTTGGTTTCCCCACTGTGAACTGAGAGGGTTCAGACTGAATGAATTCTCTAGGCCCTTCTGCCTGGTAACTTCTTGCTTTCTATGCATTGGAGCACCCTTTCAGGGGCAGTCCGCTTTACAGGATGGGTCATTGCAGATCCTGGCAGGTCCATGCTTTCAGAGATTTGTAGTCATTTGCACCATAATATGAATTATGACTGAGGTCTTCCTGAGACTAAACATCTACTGATTAGGAGGGGGTAGACTGACAAAGCTATGGCAGAAACCTCAAAGGGAGCCCTCAAGAAAAAGATGACAGTAAGAGAAGAGTAGGGGCACTCAAAAAAACTGGCTTTATTTTTTTAAATTACTTTTTGAGCTAGCTTGGATGCCATAGTCTAAGTCCACCTCACTAGCTTTTTTCATCACCTGGTACATAGTTAAGTGCATAGTGGGGCCCATTCAGTATTGTTACTGAATGAATCAAAAAAGGTAAGAAGGAACAAGCCTGAATCTACTCTGTACATTTGTAATTTGTCAAGGGTTAGTAGTCAGAGCAGAAAAATCTGTAACGCTGCACTGCATACAGATTTATCTTTTTCCCTCCTGGGTATGTGATGTCACTGAATCTCCATGACAACCCTATGTCATAGGGGCTATAATTGTTCCCATTTTAGAGATGACGAATCTGAAACTCAGAGAAGTTCGGTAACCTGCCCAGGGTTACATAGCAAGTAAAGGGGGAGCCCAGATTTAAACCCATCCGTCCCAATTCAGCCTTTATGCTTACCTGCCAACCGGTGCCTGAGCGTTTGGGCCCCAGCTCAACAAAAGTCACGCAGTCATCCTGCTGGCATCCAGACCAGAGGCTGGTGACTCCTCTCCTGACAGTCTCCGGTACCGCTCTTACCCATGCATAGCCCTCAGAAACACGCTGCTGAAGCAGAACAAAGAGCCTCTCATCTCTGGCCAGGATCGTGTCAGGCAATTTCAACCCATTCTTCCTAAACCAATCATAATTACAGTCACAACCACCGCAAAAATATAAATGCCTTACGTGTGTAGAGAACTGGAGAGTTTACAAAATACTTTCTGGTTCATCATTTCATTCAGGCTTCCCAGGGCTTCACGGGATTGGACATCAGCTCAGTTTAGGCTTGGCTGAGGAAAATAAAAGGTCAAAACTCACAAAGCGGGACGCCTGGGTGGCTCAGTTGGTTGAGCGTCTGCCTTTGGCTCAGGTCATGATCCCAGGGTCCTGGCATCGAGTCCCGCATGGGGCTCCTTGCTCAGCGGGGAGTCGGCTTCTCCCTCTGCCCCTCCCCCCATACTCGCTCTCTCACTCTCTTTCTCCTTCTCTCTCTCTCTTCTGAAAAAATAAATAAATAAAATATTTTTTAAGAAAATATTTTATTTAGGGGCGCCTGGGTGGCTCAGTTGGTTGGGCGACTGCCTTCGGCTCAGGTCATGATCCTGGAGTCCCGGGATCGAGTCCCGCATCGGGCTCCCTGCTCAGCAAGGAGTCTGCTTCTCCCTCTGACCCTCCTTTCTCTCATGCTCTCTGTCTCTCATTCTCTCTCTCAAATAAATAAAATCTTAAAAAAAAAAAAAAGAAAATATTTTATTTATTTAAGAGAGAGAGAGCAGAGCAAGAGAGAGAACACGGGCAGGGAGGAGGGGCAAGGGGAGAGGCAGAAGGAGAAGGAGAAGCAGGCTCCCCACTGAACAGGGAGCCAAGTGGACTGGATCCCAGGACGCTGAGATCATGATCTGAGCCGAAGGCAGACGCTTAACTGACTGAGCCACCCAGGCGCCCCTATTAGTCCCATGTTACAGATGAGAAAATTGGGGTTAAATCCTTTATCTAAGGTCACAGGGCTAGTGAGTAACAGAGCTGGGACTTAACAACTCTGGTCTGGCAAATTTGATGCCTATGAAATTGGCCCCGGGAATGGGGCAGGAAGCCAGAACAAAGAAGGCAAAGACCAGGCCAAGAGCAAACAACAGGAGACCCAAGAGAGGCTGGAACTGAGAGTCAGACACAAGATGAACTGGCAGAAAGGGCACAAACTGCAAACTCCCAGGAGGCATCAGTGCTATGGAGACTCTGAAGCAAGGAAGCAGAAGCTGGAAGTAAGATCAGAGCTGTCTTCAAGTTGAGGATGGAAATGCATAATACCAGTAGTCGCCATGGATTGAGCATCTTCTAGGCCCCGGGCATGGTATTATGCGCTTAATGACAATAATAGCTGACATTGCCAGAGTACTTGCCCTCACGAGGCCTTGTGGTAAGATGGTTATAACCCCTAACCTCGCAGCCGCCCTATACGGTGTGTGCTTGTTGGTAGTAGAGGGGAGGTGACATGCAGGAGATGCTAAACTCCTCAAGGTCACACAGCGTGTGTGTGGCACCACTAGGCTACATACATTTCCTCCAACTTCACCACAAGCCTGCAAGGTGAGAATTATTACTCTCATTTCATGGATGGAGGAATCTGAGGCCCAGAGAGGCCAAGTGATTTTCCCAAGACCACACAGCTGACAGATGGCAGAGCCTGACTCCAACTCAAGGCTGTACAGTGAGGAAATTGGAACAGTGTAGCCCTGGGTCATGTGGGAACAGACTTTGGACCCCAACCCTGGGAACCCAGAATTCTAGTTATTAGTGAGGTGTCTGTGTCCCCTGACACAGAAGCTCGAGTGTGTTGACTGAAGATGGGATTATCGTCACACCCCTTCCCTAGACAGACAAGGTGTTGTGAGGCTGAATTTGGTAGTTTGGATCTCTTTACGTTTATTTTCACTCTCTTTTAGGCTGAACACAAATGTGAAAAAATAGTAATAGTGTGTGACAATTAAGGAATTCACACACCCTCTCTCAAGCCGGACCTGAGTCATTTCTGACAAATGTGATAGGAAAACAATAACAGCCAAATAAAAACTACTCGGCTGAAAATTCTCCCTTTCTCCAGCTGCTGTCCCCGGAGCCACTGGGAGGGGACGGAAAAGGCTGTGGCCTCCCCCGCCTTCTCCGATAGCTCTCAGATGGATGCGCATCACGATTACCTGGAGGCCTTGTTCGAACAAATGTCTGGGCCTCGCCCCAGAGTTTCAGATTCGGTAAGTCTGCGATGGGCTCGACAGTATGCATTTCTGACAAGTTCCCAGGGCCTGCTGAGGCTACTGGCCCAGGGACCACACTTTGAGAACCCCTGCTTCAACGAACTTGAAGCACAGCCGGCAAAGAGGTCAAAGCTGAGTACTCTTGAAAGAAGAGCATCGGGTTCTCAT